TATATTATAAGAATGTTCTAGGAGGGATTTGAAGGTCCTTTGTGCCTCCCTAGCAGTTGTTAGTGCACCTGAGCAGTCCTTAGCGGTCCGACAACTCTTCAAAAACATTAATTTTTATCACTAAAATGATATTTTTTCTTAAAATAATACATTTTTTGTCACTAAACATACTACCTTGTATTATAAGAATGCCCTAGGAGGTATTTTAAGGTCCTTTGTGCCTCCCTAGCAGTCTTTTGTGTATCTGAGCAGTCCTTAGCGGTCCGACAACTCATAAAATTTTCACCAAAATCATATTTTTTCTTAAAATTATAATTTTTTTTTCACTAAAAATAATACCATGTAATATAAGAATGGCCTAGGAGGTATTTTAAGGTCCTTTGTGCCTCTTTAGTAGTCCTTTGTGGCTCCTTAGCAGTCCTTAGCGGTCCTTAGCAGTCCTTAGCAGTGTTTAGTAGGACCCCATAAACTACAGTTCAGACCTGGGGTGATCATTAATTGTAATCATTGATTTTTTAATCGATTATATGATTACTGTACTCTGTAATCATCATGTATTGATTACCTTGCCCAAAATTGATTAATTTAATTGTAATTAATCATTTACAGCTAAGTTCAGTCAGTAATTATGATTACAATTTGATTGACATTGAATAATTTCAGTTATATCCATGCTCATTTAGTGCATATTTTATAAGGTTATAACTGATTTATGCACACTAGTAAGAAAATCCCCCTCTGTATATCCTCTGCCTTTTATTTAAAGCCAAACCTCCCTATCTGGGCCACTTGGGGATTGGAAATATGGCATGTAATTGTTATGATATGATTTATTCAAATACATGTATAATTTGATATAATGTAAATAATCAGTAACTTATAGAACTAGTATGTAAGTTTAAACACAATAGGAGTTTTAATTAGTCCCCTACTGGTTCAACCAGAGGGGACTTTAGGTTTACCCTCCGTCCGTCCGTCCATCTGTCCCCCAGCAAACATTTGATTATTATGAGCTTCATTCCGTAGTTAAATAAAGAACAAAAACCCATAAAATTCAAATTAAGGGCTATTTTTTTGTTTTTATGAGCTTATTTTGCTTATGGACGTTGGTCCAGGTGGTGTTTATGAGCTGATTTGCCTCATAAACATCAAAAGTTGGTAAGTCCGTACAAACCAGAGCTACATTATGGGGTTTGGTCTATTGTTCTCATAACAATAGATGTCTTTGATGTCATTCATTCCGTTTCTCTTGTGGGGTTATTTTCTGCATTGTGGGGTTAAAAAGAACAAAAGAAATAACAAAAGAAAACCCCATAATGTAGCTCTGGTATATAAAGAACGTCCGTCCGTCCACAAAACTGGATCCCGCGATAAGGCAATAAGTACTGAAAATATTTTTATAAAACTTGATATATGGATAGATGGCAGTATGGAGATTATGCACATCTTTTTTTTTTTTTTCTTCCTATGTTGAAAATTCTGGTTGCTATGGCAACAAATAGTCTGAAAATATGGCAAATTTAACACATAAACTGGATCCAGTGATAACTCAAAAAGTACTGAAAATATTTTTATGAAACTTGAAATATGGGTGGATGGCAGTCTGGAGATTATGCACATCTTTTTCTTTTCTTCCTATGTTGAAAATTTTGGTTGCTATGGCAACGAATCGTCTGAATTTCAAGATTTCTGATTTAAATTTTTCAGCTTTTTCACTACAAGTTCTTTATTTCTTAAGGTGTTTTCTTCAAACTTTAAATGTAAGTTTCTGGTCATCAACCACATCATATGTGACAAGGTTTACAACTCTAGCACAAAAATTATCAGTATTACCTCCCTTGAACTTAGAATTTTTATGAAAAATAATGTCTTTTTTTAAATAACTTCTTTATTTCTGAATGTAGCTACTTCAAACTTCATATATATGTTTCTTATTATCACTCAACATTTTTGAGAAGGTTAAATACTCTAGCAAGACTATTTCCAGAATTATGTCCCCCTTGAACTTAGATTTTTTTCGAGAAATTGGTATTTTTCACTCCAACGTCTTCATTCCTTATAGGATTTACTTTAAAATCCCACATCGTAATAATATGACAAGGTTGTATACACATAATTTCCTTACTAGGCAGGGAAACTTAACACATTACTGTGATATAGACAAACTTAGAACTCAAAAGATTTAAGTTCATTCATGTCATTCATTCACTGGTAAAATTGAATGGCCAATGGCCCATCAGAATGTTGCTGGGGTTTTAACCGGTAGGGGACTTATGGATTGCTTGCAATGCTGTGATAATTGCTTGTTACTTTGTACTTTGAATTTATTATGATGAATTTCCATCTTGTAAACTTAAAGTAGGTAATTATGAGGTCAGACTATATTTCCTGAGTTTACCGGCTAGTGATGATTCTATAAGTTATCTCTTTATTTTCAGAAAAATGGAGTTGTATTCTCTGGAGTGGGGAGACCAGATAGATCTTGCAAAGTTCATTGTTGCTCCAGCTCCATATGGTGGACCTTTAGGTAAACATTTTAAGAGCATATTGTGTTAAATATTTCTAAAATTGTGTGATTTCTTTTAAGGTTTTTCTTGTGAAACTGTTTAGTAAACAGATTGATGTAAAAATTAGGACTAGATTAGAAAATTGCAAATTAAGGCTTAAGATCATTATACATTGCAATAAGCTTTTGCTTTCTTGCCATGTACTGAGCAGGTATGTAAGCATTTTTTCAGAGGTAGGTAAAGGGTATAGTATATACAGTATTTATATATTTCAGCTTTGATGAGAGATGACAGTAACAACCCAAATTTGTCAGGAAATGTGAAGCCGATCATTCATGCATTCACTTCATCTGGTAAACCTATAGGTCAACTTAGAGTATGTTCACTTTTTGTGTACTTTTTTAATCCATAATCCATTACTGGAAAAGTCAATATATGAAAATTGTTTAACATAATAATATCACAGGCACGAGTATCGGACCTGGGAAGAAAAAATATCACCAGATTGATAATAAAACCTGTGTTCATCTTGAAAGTGTCAAAAACCAAAAAACAATTGTAAATAATGACCCCCTTTAAAAATATACTATAAGTTAAGCTCTTAACTTATAGTATATTTTTAAAGGGGGTCATTATTTACATTTTTTTTTTTTGGTTTTTGACATTTTTAAGATGAACACAGGTTTTATTATCAATCTGGTCATATTTTTTCTTCCCAGGTCCGATACTCGTGCCTGTGATTAATATGAATTCGTACAAAAAAAAATCAAGACAGCAATTTTTTCCCTAAAAGTTCCTTTGTAATATTTAAGAAATTATTTAATCATCTAGCTAGTATGTTCATTCTCATTTTGTGAAGATTTGTATTTACTTTACCCATAGCCTGCTGGCAGCAACTTTAATATTCTACCCATTTAATCGAGTGCAGGCCATGATCAGACAGCTGATCTTAGCTGTACTGTTTGTTATTCAGTGACTTCATATTTTGAAATTTTACTTGTCAATATGCATGATGACTGGATTTATCCATCTTGAAATATGGACAAGTCCATTTAAGATATTTAGCATGGGATTAAGGCTTAAGATTAACAGATAATCTATGATTGACATACTAAGAAATCTGGTCAAGTTTTAAGAATAAATTGTCAGAAAATTATTATTATTTTTATATTGTTTATACAGTGGTCTAGTGGACGTATCAAGAAGATGGGTTGGTCAACCACCGAAGATTTGTTATGTGTACAGGACGATGGTGTGGTTCTGGTTTACGATATTTTTCTGAACTTTAAACGACAGTTTGGTCTAGGACAGGTCAGTTATTCATGTCTTTAAGCAGGTGAAATATTTAGCCAAATTAAGCAGGGGAACATTTAGCCAAATTAAGCAGGGGAATATTTAGCCAAATTAAGCAGGGGAAATATTTAGCCAACAGGGGAAATATTTAGCCAAATTAAGCAGGGGAACATTTAGCCAAATTAAGCAGGGGAACATTTAGCCAAATTAAGCAGGGGAATATTTAGCCAAATTAAGCAGGGGAACATTTAGCCAAATTAAGCAGGGGAACATTTAGCCAAATTAAGCAGGGGAACATTTAGCCAAATTAAGCAGGGGAATATTTAGCCAAATTAAGCAGGGGAACATTTAGCCAAATTAAGCAGGGGAACATTTAGCAAAATTAAGCAGGGGAACATTTAGCCAAATTAAGCAGGGGAATATTTAGCCAAATTAAGCAGGGGAATATTTAGCCAAATTAAGCAGGGGAAATATTTAGCCAAATTAAGCAGGGGAACATTTAGCCAAATTAAGCAGGGGAAATATTTAGCCAAATTAAGCAGGGGAACATTTAGCCAAATTAAGCAGGGGAACATTTAGCCAAATTAAGCAGGGGAATATTTAGCCAAATTAAGCAGGGGAATATTTAGCCAAATTAAGCAGGGAAATATTTAGCCAAATTAAGCAGGGGAAATATTTAGCCAAATTAAGCAGGGGAACATTTAGCCAAATTAAGCAGGGGAATATTAAGCCAAATTAAGCAGGGGAAATATTTAGCCAAATTAAGCAGGGAAATATTTAACCAAATTAAGGAGGTGAAATATTTAGCATAATAATAAGAGTTCGCCACCAGTATAGACAGGGGCGGCCAAATCAATTGTCCGTAAGCCTAGGTTGTCCGTCATTCGTTACAGGCATGCACATCTGCACTGTCAATTACCAGGCTCTTTACTATTGGTAGTTAGTATTTTTTTGATACTGATGTCCCTTTAACATTGAATGGACTGTTCTCAATTCAAATCAGGGCAAGTCCATTATTATTATTTAAATTAAGCAGGTTAAGGTTTAATTACTTTAACATAATGAGTTTTTTTTATTACATTTCCACTGATTGAGTGAAATAGACATATGAATATATTCTGCTTTGAATTTGTAATTATTTTATTGAGTTAGTTTCTTTGATTTAAAAGTGTCTTTGATTTAAAAAATGTTATCATAGCAAAGTTGAGCAGTATATAGTATATAGTCATGTTAGACTGAGTGGATTTGCATGCATGCCATGCTGATTACTGATAATGCTACTTGTGCTGAAAGTATTACTAATTGGATATTCATGTTTAAGTTTAGAGCTAATCAACATTCAGGGTATACATGTATATTACTGGAAACAATAATAATAGTAGTAGTAATAATAATAATAGTAATAATAATAAAAATAATAATAATAATATCTTTATTTAAAGAAGGTAACACATTAAGAAAATACAACAGCAATCATATATATGTTATTTCCAATGTGGCCTTCTGAAATAGAAAAACAACAACAACAAAACATGCATACATAAAAAAATGAATGTATCAATAGGACACGGACGCCCTTGCATTCCACTATTTTGTGAGTCACAGACACAAGATGTCAGTAAGACTGACAGACAAGGGCAAATCTGTATACCATTAAAGATTACCAAAGAAATAAATTTGAGCCATGCCATGACAAAACCAACATAATGGGTTTGCGATCAGCATGGATCCAGACCAGCCTGCGCATCCGTGCAGTCTGATCAGGATCCATGCTGTTCGCTATCGGTTTCTTTACTTGTTATAGAGTTTGTAAGCGAACAGCATGGATCCAGATCAGACTGCTCGGATGCGCAGGCTTGTCTGCATCCATGCTGGTCGCAAACCCATTATGTTGGTTTTGTTGTGATGCAGCTCATTTATATTGTAGGAAGCAAAAGACACAAAGGTTTTAGATGTACGTATCTTTCGTAGCTATAAAGGTACAGGGATTGCCGTTCTCACATGTAACTACAGAATATTCATGGTCAACTGTATAGATGATCTGAGAGTAAGAAGGCTGGCCGAAGTTCCAGGTATAATCCTTGTTATTTGTATTAAAAAGATTATCTTAACATTTTTATAAACAATATATTAAATGATAATAAAGCTACATCTAATGCATTTTTTTTTAAAAATTTAAAAATGGTAAAATTAAGTGGTTTCCATAATCTTAGGATGGATTATCAAAAGCGTTGATAAAATGTTACTATTATTTAATACACGTGTGAATATTGTATGTTAACAGAATAAAATGTTCCAGAACAAACTATCATGCTCCTTTAGAAGAAGGATTTTAAAATTTATGGGCCGTTTGCTTATGTTGATATATACTTACATTTTTCTTTCCTGCATGTATTTGGGATTTATTCTTTTTAGGAATTTAAACAAAAATTTTGTAAACTGCAGGCAACACAGATATAGCTTTATACACTTTAACAAATATTCTGCAAATCATTGAGGTCATTTGCATTATATAATAATACAAAACATAGCATTAAAGCTATTGTTAGTGTTACACTTTAGATGTGTCAATGAAAAATGGCTCTTTTAAATTGTAAATGGTTCTTATTTTAAAGGGAAAGACAAGGTTAGAATAAAAACTTGATTTCAGAAAAAGAATACTATAAATAATAAGTTTGCAAATTTTCTGCCGCCAAATAATAATATTAAACGAATGATAACAAAATTTAAATCACTAAATCACCGATTTCTACAAATCAGTAAGCGCGGCCATGTTTGTGTATTGGCCGTATAAAAACAGGTGCGCGTGATGTCATTTCCCCACATCTTTAGATTCATGATAAATCTAGTTGAATCGTAAGGAAATATTAATGACCAGACAATTTAATTTTCACAGGAGGTGTAGAGGAGATTTTTTATGGTTCAAAATACGTAACAATATCAAAAAAAAAAAATAATTATAAAGAAAAAATAAAGAAACGTACGGCTAGAACTTTTGGTTCGTGAGTCACGAACGACTAGCCAGGACGCACTGTACGTATTGTCTAGCCGTACGGCACTTTTCAAAATTATATGGAAGTTCGAACGTTATAAATTGTTGATTTTCATGCTTATCATTTGTTGTTTTATTTGTATGAATTATTAAATCATTTTTGTTAATTTTAAAACAACA